GTCTTTGCATAGTCAATAAAACACAGATAGACATTCCTCTGGCACTCTCTGCTTTCAGCCAAGATCCATCTGACATTGGTAACAATGTCAATAATGTCTACTGCTATGATTGCTTGTATTTCTGTTAGTTCTCTGTCAATGTACTGTTCAAGTAATTTCTGTATGATCTTCAGCAGGATTTTGCTAGTGTGTGATATTAGTGATATTGTTTTATAATTTCCACCCTCTGTCAGGTCACCTTTCTTTGGAATGGGAGTAAATATGGATCTCTTCCAGTCAGTTGGCCAAGTTGTCCTCCAGATTCCTTGGCATATCTTGGTGAGCACATCCAGGACAGCATCTGTTTGTTGAAATACATCAAGTGGTAGTCCTTCAATTCCTGAGGCTTTATTTTTTGCCAAGTCCTTCAGAACAGCCTGAAGTTCCTCCTTCATCACCATTGCCTCTTGATCATATGTTGTTTTATGAAATTCTTCTGTGTCAGCCAATTCTTTTTTGGTACAATGACTGTATACTCCTTCCATCTTCATGTAATGCTTCCCAAATTATTCAATATTCTGCCCATAGCATCCATAAGTATTGTAATTCTCAGCTTGAATTTGTTCTTCAATTCCTTCAGCTTAAGAATTACTGAGCAAGTTCAGCCCTTTTGATATTCTGACTCTAGCTCCTTGCACATTTCATTATAATACTTTGCTTTTCCTTCCTGTACTGCCCTTTGAAATCTATTCAGCTCCTTAACTTCTTGATTTCTTCCCTTTGCTTTGGCTTCCCGACACTCTTGTGCAATATTCAGAGTCTCTTCTGACATCAATTTTGGTCTTTTCTTCTTGTCCCTTCTTTGTATTCACCTTTTTCATTCTTCATGAATTATATGTTTGATATTTTCTCACAGCTCATCTGATCTTAGTTCAGTAGCGTTCAAATCCCCCAAACTATTCTAGAGTTGGTTTTTAAATTCATAGGGGATAGACTCAAGATCATATTTTGATTACTGTGCCTTTGATTTAACCTTCTTTAGCTTTAATTTGAACTTGCATATGAGTAGTTGATAGTCTGTTCCACAATCAGCACCTGGCCTAGTTTTCATTGCTGATATTGAACTTCTCCAACAATTCCTTCCACAGGTGTAATCCATCTGATTCCTGCGCATCTCATCAGGTTAAAGTCATGTGTGTAGTCTGTGTTTATGTTTCTTATAAAATGTACTTTCTATGACTCAATTATTGATTGTACAAAATTCTATCATTCTATCCCCAGCCTCATATCTGTCCCCAAGTCTGTATTTTCTGATTACTAATCCTTCTTCATGGTTCCCAACTTTTGCATTCCAGTCACGCATTATTGTTAGTGCATCTTGGTCACATGTTCTATCGATTTCTGACCTAACAGTTGGTAGAAATCATCTATTTCCTCCTCTTTGGCTCTAGTTCTTGGTGCATAAATGTGAATGATAGTGGTATTAACAGATCTTCCTACAGTATTGTCTTTCAATGGATCTAGAAACAGCCTTTCTAACTATGAAAGCGACCCTGTTTTTTCTCACCTTTTTGTCTCCAGCATAGTAGATTATATGATTGCCTGATTTAAAATGTCCCATGCCAACTATCTGTACATAATATGGTGTTTGTACAACATCCACATTATGTAACATCCTATTTCACAGAACATGAATTGCCTTAAGCAATTCGTGACACATATGTATAGAAAGAGAAAAAGAAACTACACATAAGAGAGAGACAGAGAGTAAGGGAGAATGAAAATCAGATATGAATTAATGCACTAATGCAGAGGTCAGCAATTTTTTTTTTCTTAAAGGGTTAGATAAGAAATAATTTTGACCTAAAAGACCAAAAGGGCTATGTTGTAATACTTTTTCACTGTATATGAAAGCTACCACAAACAAAATAAGTGACTACATTCAAATAACATTTTATTTATAAAAAACAGGCAGCCTCACTAGCCTTTAATTTATTGTTCATTCAGTTATGCATCTATCTCAGGTACAGGAATTATATCTTGAGACCTTCCTATTTCCTGATAATAGAGGAAGTGAACCAAGAAAAGGTCAGTTTTGATGGGAAGGGCAGTGAAACAAACACCGGATTTAGAGCTTAAGAGATCAACGTTATAACCTAATAAGAGACATAGCCGTGAGGTCAAAAGACTCCTTGTTCTAAATAAAGTAAAGAAAGACTGCTTAAAAGGAATATATGATTGGGTATTGTTTGCATGACAACAGTCTAAAATAAAAGCTGTATAGGAAAGTGGACTAGGGTAGGGGGATGGGGGGATTGTACAACAATGAAAGAATTTTTCTTTCAAAGAGAAAAGTGTGGTGGGGTGGGCAGGGAGGAAAATGTGCAACAAAGAATGAATGAAAATCCAAGTTCTCTATAAACTTACATTAAAATCTCAACTTAAAATTTTTAAAAAAAAAAGTCCCATGCCAATCCATCTCATTTCACTAATACTTAATATGTCAATATTTATGCATTTCATTTCCTTCTTATTAATGTCTAATTTTCCTACATGCTTCTCACATTCCATGTATCAATCACTAGTTTCTTCTTACAGCTGTTTTTCCTCCTTTGTGCTTCCAAATTTGAGTGCTCAGCCTCAGCTGCCATATCTGTTAGTCTGCTCTAAGTGTGCTCTTCTGTACATAGGGTTTTTGAAGGCCTGTTATATTGTGGAAGTGGATGGCCAATCCTTCTTTCCAGTCTATCTTAATTTGGATGCTTAGTTTTAGAACAATATCTGACAGACAAGCATTTTACCAACCAGATGAGAGACACTTCCCTGACAGATATAACCAATACATTCACTGTAACCCACCCTTTCTCAAACACATGTTTCTTATCTCTTCTCTTTCTCTGTTACATCACCATTCCTTGCACTCCTGCCTACATGGTCAAACTCTCCTTTTCCCAGTCACCTCTTGATATAACAGCTTAGTCCACAATTCACGTCTGTGATGGCTTGCACTACACATGGCTACTGGTCTCTCACACTGTTGTCTGTTTATTGTTTAGGAGGATATAAGTCCAAATCTCCTGTACCAATTCAGGGAAATATTTTGCTTGAGGCAATACTAAGGGAAGTTCCTTGCCACTGAGCTTCTGCTAAGTCTTGTAATTTGGTGTCTCTGTTTACACTGCTGTCACAATGTGATAATTTCCAAGGTCCAGATAGTTCTCTTCTAGATCTGATATGGTGGTGGTGGTTTTTGTTTGGCCTGAGGGTCAAAGCCCCAAGGGGCTGATACAGTTTTGAGAACTGAATATCCTTTCCTGAAAGAGGATGTTAAGACAGTGATGGATTTCTAGGAAAATGGTTTTACCTAATTAAGTTTATAGGGTAGTCCCCGATCCTGTTGTGTGCAGATTCATGGGTTCTGATGCTGTGTTAGGAGGCCCAATTTGAATACTCACATACCCAAAAGAGGTTTGAGACTGAATATCCTTTCCTGAAAGATGATGTTAAGGAAGCCAATGAATTTCTGGGAGAATGGTGTTACCTGATTATAAGAAGATTATAAGGTGGTCTCAGATTCTGTCTTGTGCAAATCTGTAGGTTCCAAACGCTGTTTAGGAGGCCAATTTTGTATATCCAGACCCCTTGACGCATAACACCCATGTTATAAAATAGGATTGAAATGGGGAATTGGGAAGAGAATAGGAACAGTGGATATATAGTTAACAGTGCATTGGAATAGATGAGGAGAAAAACTGTATGAAAGGGATGTATGTTTAGGCATTATATGTATGACAACAATCTGGAACAAGAGGTGCACTGCAAAGTGGACTGTGGGAGGGGAAAGGGTGAGAGAATGAGAAAAATGTGCAACAATGAACAAACGAAAACCCAGCCTTTCTGTAAACTTTCATGAAAATCATAATTAAAAAAAATACATTTAAAAAATAAAGGCAACAAAGCAAGTAAACAGGGAAAGGAAAGTCTTTTCAATAAATGGTGCTGGAAAAACTAGGTATCTATATGAAACAAAATGGATCCCGACTCCTCTCTAATAATATATAAAAATTCATTCAAGCTAGATTCTATTATTTCATTTATATAAAGCTTCAGAACAGATAAACACTAATCTTTGGTGGAAAAAAATTATGAGAACAGGTATTGTTACTGAAGTTAGTTCTGAAGTTAGAAGCAGAATGGATTAAATGTGTAGGGAGCAGGAGGTGCTTTTGCAGGTAATAGTAATGTTCTAGAGCTTACAGAGGTTTCGGTTATACAAACATGTCAGAATGAAATGAATTGGGATTTGGCCATTTTTCTGTACACAAAAACAAATCTAGCCTCCCAAATAGTTTTGAGTAGGGAAGTGATGGCCTAGATGAGAAAAGGCTGAAAGGACTCACACTTGAAAGTCATTCAGAGAAAGGTTTGAGTACTGGTTCAATCATCAGGCTGCGTGACCTTGAGCAAACTCTATTTCTTTTCTCTATCCCTGGTAGATAAGTAGTCAAAACATGGAAGCTAATAATAAAGTGACACATGAGATGATTTCAGGTCACAGGACTAAAGTGACCTACACATATGACATACACATCTCACAATGCCATTCTAACCATCGCATTAGTTTAGCCCACTACGGGATCTTCTCTTGGATACTTGTATTTTCTTAGGGTCTTTTGATGGTGGTTATTGTTAGGTGCCATGGAGTCAGAACCTACTCTTAGCTGACCCTCCAGAGAGTTTTCAGAGTAAATCATCTGGGAGGATATTGCCCATCTTTCTCCACTGGAGCTTCAAGTGGATTTGAACTGTGTGCCTTTGCTTTAGGAGAGTAATCCCTTGTCACAAACCACCAGAGCTACCTTTTGACAGTTAAAACCTTTTTTAAAAATTAAAAAAGTACACCCTCTCCTTCCCAAAGTGGGACTACTGCTTGGAGAAGTTGTTTCTAATTGGCTCTGAGTTTTGCTTGACTCTCAGTTCTAGTTGGCTTTCAGTTCTGATTGGCTTTAACTGGCACTCACCTCAGGGTCTGTGCCTTCTTCATAAGAGCGAATGCCAAAGGCCATGCCTTCAAACGTGTGGTCCACCCGCAGCACAGTCAACGCCAACCTGGCCACTGTCAAGTTTGCTGTCCTCCCAGAAAACTCCATCTTGTGACCAGCACGATCAATTATTCTCAGAATTCTGTAAGGAATCACAGGTACTGGTAAAACATTCCCATTTTGTGTATGTGTGTGTGTTATTGTTATTTCATATTGGTTTGTATACAACATTCATATACATTGTTTCATTCATGTATAGTCAGCTGTAAACTATTTGTACATATTCCTTCATTCACATTCTGCTTCATACAACCATTCTCATACATTGTGTTTTATAAAATTAATCATCATTGATCTTCGCCCATTATCATTCCATCTTTTTTTTTTAATCATTCCATCTTTTTAGGTCTCCACTATATCTATCGTAATTTCTTCACTGCCTCTCCTCCACCCACCAAACTCTGCAACCTCGTGATTTCCTCCCCACCACCCCCAGACTCCTTGCCCCCTCCCCTTCTCCATTTGGACTTTTATACACATCTTACTAGTTATCCTTCAATTTTTTAAACAATTTTTTATACTAGTTTATTTACAAAGTTAGAATACAATGCTTTTCACACTGGATCTTTCCTATTTCCTTCACCACCCTGACACTATGTGCGACCAAATTCCTTATGTGTGACCCTATGATTAATCTGCCCGCCCTCCCCACGCCAGGCCTATCCTCACCCCACTGCTTATATTCCCTCCCCTCTTAGATCCTCATTTTCATTCTACAGTATTGGTTTTATACAGTATTTGTCCTGATGGGACTGAGTTGGTTCACTCAGCATAATACTTTCCTGTCCTTCCCAAGTTTGGCAGACAAAATCATTGTTCCTGCATATCCTTCTATTTTTACAATAATGGTTTTATGCAGTGTTTGTCCTCATGAGATGGAGTGGATGCACAATTCATTGTCCTTGAAAAGTTTACTCTATAAGAGTTTGTTCTGCATTTTAAATCACTATCTTTACATTGTTTAGGAATGATTCAATAAGAGAGAGTGTTTCTCTCATTTCTAGTCATACAGAAAAATGAAATAAGTTCACTGAGTTCTATTTCCTCATCTGAAAAACTGGAGGTAATATTAGCACAGCTCTTAAGAGATTGTTTTAGAGATTAAATGAAACTATTGTATGTACAGCCAAATTCTGGAGAACTTCATAAAGCCTGGTAAGAAGTTTGGATTTTATTCAAAGGGCAATGGAAACAAGATCAAGAAAAGATCTCATTAAGTTTTTTATTGGGGTTTTTTTAAAGGAAAGGTTTACACACTGGTAGAAACAAATAGAGGGATTGACAGGATGGGAGGATGGGCAGAGGGCAGCAGAGATTAGTGGATGGATGTTAGAGTGAAGGAAAAGGGAAGCAACATTGAGGATTTGATGAGACATTACAAACAATGACATTGTTTGATTGTAATTAACATTATAAAACATTAACATTTATGTAATA